TTCTACCGAATTTCTAACCAAATTAAAGAGTATTCCCCAGCCTGATAAACTTATCATGTCCACCTTCGACGTAACATCCCTTTTCCTATGCCTTCCGCACTCTTTGATTACAGACGGTCTTAGTTCACTCCTTGCCTTCTCTACATTCTCTAGCAAAGACCAAAAATCGATAATAGATCTGTTTACTATCTGTCTTGGCATGAATACCCTCGAATTCAACAGCCGTTCCTTTCTACAAATACGAGGCTCCCCTATGGGCAGTCCTCTCTCCACAATCGCAGAGGAAATTGTCATGCTAGGGCTGGACCAATGGCTGGTGTCCAAAGATCATTTGGGGGTCGTTACTTGGTTACGTTACGTAGACGACATCTTCTGCCTACACCGAGATACCGATCATTTACCCATTCTCACCGCTTTAAACTCTTACCATCCGGATCTACTTTTTACACACAACCCGTCCCGCTCTAACTGTATTCCATTTTTAGACATTTTAATTATTAACACCGACGATAAATTCCACACAACGGTCTTTCACAAACCCGGCTTTACCCCCTCGTACCTACATTTTTCATCCCACGCCCCCGTCTCCCATAAGATCACCACCGTCCGAACTCTTTCCAAACGTATCTACACCCACTGTTCCCTCCCTTTCTTTAAAAATATCGAGAGGCGCACGGTCTACTCGCATCTCTTGTCCGCGGGCTATCCACGCAGTTTTATCGACCGACATTTCTTCACACCCAATCAAAAAAGAACCACACCTCCTTTATTTAAAAGCACCTGCGTCCTCCCATACTCCACCACGAATTCCGGTATTGGTTCCTTTTTACGTAAATTCGGCATTCGCACTCTTTACAAGTGCACACCTTCCCTTTACACCTTCCTACGACATCCAATCACAAAAAGCTCCGCCAAACGTAACCCCCAATCCCTTTCTAACGCCGTTTACAAAATTCCTTGTAAAGATTGCGATTTATGCTATATTGGAGAAACAGGCCGAACAATCGCCATCAGAGCCAGTGAACACGCCCGCAACATCCGCTCGAAAGACAAAAAATCGCTCATATACCAACATATCGCCGAATCCGGACATTCCTTCAATCTTGACAATACAACCCCCGTTTATAGCGATATAGCAAATAAATACCAACGCTTAGTTCTCGAAGCCCTTGTCTCCAATACTACACCCAGCCTCAACAGAAAGATTGACCTCCCGCCCCAATATTCTGCTTTTTATTCTATACCAACAGATACACCTCCTTCGTAACTTTTAACTTTATTCCGCTGTTTTTTATATTCTCGTTTATATTCTTATTTTTATTTTTATTCTTGCTTTTGTCTTCGCCTCTAGTTTTCCGCCTTTTTCCCTTCATCCTAGGTATGCAGATTTTCTTAAATCTATATATTGTACACTTTTAAATATTTTTATTACTGGCATGCAAATCTCAAATCTTTTTAATCTTTTATTTCTTGTTTAATATTTTTTATGCTAAACTGTCGCTTATAAATATAGCATCTCCTTCTCATTCATGTCAATACCTGATGAAGGACGGCTGACGTCCGAAAGCTCGTATACTGCTTAATAAAGAAACTTACCACGTTCCTCTTAATCTCTCTTTTTACATACTGTTTAGAAAATTTTAATCTGTATCTCTTTATTATATTTATGTGTAAAACGAAAATTGAAATTATACCGCGAATGTTTCTTTTAAACGAAAAATCGAAATTTATTTTAAAGAGAAATAGCGATTATTTCTAACTTTAAGGATGAAGTATGATAGGATGAATTGTGAAGAGTAATGATAAACGGAAAAATAAAAGTGTCCAAGGATGGACACCCTTGTTCCCATCCTTGGACACTTCCGTTTATCATTACTCTTCACAATTCATCTTATCATACTTCATCCTTAAAGTTAGAAATAATCGCTATTTCTCTTTAAAATAAATTTCGATTTTTCGTTTAAAAGAAACATTCGCGGTATAATTGCAATTTTCGTTTTACAATCATAAGCCGCGTTATATATTGTATTTTATATTTATGTGTATAATAAATATATATTTGTGGTACAAATGTGAAATTGTACTGGGATCGGGTAGATAAATTAAGAAAAAAATGGCATCTCCTGATTGTCAAATTTGCGAACTCGGCCTTTGATATAAACAAAGGCCAAGTTCGCAAATCAGTTTTTTTAAGACACGCAAAAATAGTAAAACAAAATTATAAATAAGAGTGAATAATATAAATATTTCTATTTTAAATAGACAAAAGAATTGCTATAAAGTATGAAGTAAAAATAAACGATAGCAATACGTTTCTTTATACGTGAAATTTTATGCAAGCTTTCGGATCTCATCAATCCTTCCACAGGCCAAGCTATAAGCTGAGAGAAAATATAGATGTACAATCTATATATACTCTTTCTCTCAGCTTATAGCTTGGCCTGTGGAAGGATTGATGAGATCCGAAAGCTTGCATAAAATTTCACGTATAAAGAAACGTATTGCTATCGTTTATTTTTATTTCATAAATATTTCTACACACACACACAACTGTAAATATGTAAATAGAGCTCTAGGACATAAAACCCTATTACTCTCCTCTCAGTGATCAAAGAACCTTTTTTCCGATCGAAAGTTCGGAATTAGCTTTCAATAATAAAAAAAAAGACGTGCATTGCTGGTCTCTGTTATAACCTTTGTTAAACTACCTAGCGAAACTTTGATTCCAGTTCCTTACGAACTGCGACAGACGCTGCGAAAGATCACCAAAAATATCCGTCACGTAGGAGAGAAAAAACGGCTATTCCATTATTTTTAATTTAAATTTAAAAAAACGATCCTGGCAGAATTTAAACCCGTGATCTTCTCCTTGAAATAAATTTTGAATTTTCGTTGAAAAGAAACACATGCGGGATAGTATTTCAAATGTCGTTTTACAATCACAAGCCGCATTATATTATATTGTATTTGTTGGGCTATTAGTTGAAGCTGGACTATATGATGTAATAGTATAAGGAAGTAGTCAATTATCCCACTACATCTGCCGATTGAAGTGGATATATAGAAGCACGCGGAGGCGACGCGAACAACAGGAAAGTATCTTTATTTTTTTTACTAAAAAGGGGGAGGGAGGAGGGACTGCCCGCTGGGCAGCTCGGTGATTGGCTGGCCGTGACGTAGTGGTGACGTAGGTCCTCTCAGGCGGAAGTGGGCATATTCAACATGCCTTCAGTATTGTTTCTCTACAATCCGAGGAAGTCGACACAATTGGCCAGATGGAAATCTGGTTACCTGCTCCCTCTAGTCTTTAAAAAGGGAGCCAAAAGCTTCCCCATGTGCACTAGGTGCAAAACCGAAGAGGCCACTCCCCAACATATACTAAATTGTATTGGAAAGGACAAAGAATCCCTGTACAGAGAACTAAGATGAGTTCTTGAACTTCTTTATGAGCACGACCTTCAAGATCTTGTCTAATTTAGACTAATAAAAAGGATAAGAAAAAAAAAGTAAATCCGGCATAAATTCGCATTGTTTCAAAAATAGGTAGGCTTCAGTTGACTACGTAGACAAGAGTTATACAAAATTCCATGTGACGTGGAGCCATGTTTTATACTTTCAAACGTACTATATAAATAGAGGTATAACTGAGAATATATATAAAGAAAATTTTAAAAAAGGCATCTCCTTATCGGGCAACTAAAAGTTACTGATGGCTTGCGCCATCTATCCGCCAAATACCCATTCTTGATTAATCAAGAAAAGCTAACCACGTACGCGTTTCGTGCTGTTGGCCCTCCTCAGCTTGGTGCAAGCTGTACCTCAACGACCAAAAAAACTGGTCATTCAGGCATCCTGAAAAAATAATGAAACAGGTAGTTAAAGCCGCCAGAATTGCGTGAGAATGCGGATCAACGTGAAAGAAATAGTATAAATGTGATATTGTACTGGAATATGGTTCATAAATTAAGAAAATTTAAAAAAAAAGGCGTCTCCTTATTCTGGAATTCTTTAAATAATTAAAAAATCAATGAATATTTAATATTTATTCCGATAGATGGCGAACACCATCAGCAACTTTCAGTTGCCCTATAAAGAGATGTCTTAATTTATGAACCTTATCCCAGTACAATATCCCATTTGTACTTTTTTTTTCAGATTGAGAAAATATAGTTTAGGCGGCGCCTACATTACAAGGCGCCTGGCGCCGTTTTTCATCAATAACTTACTAATGATTTCTGTGTCCTGTTCTCCTTAAAATACCATTATTAAAGATAAAGGAGGAGACGGCATTTCTTTCTTCCATATTTCACCATTACCACCATATCCAAAAACTAACGCCCATTTTTCAAAAGTCTCCCAAAAAAAAAAACGTCTCATTTTTACCCTATAAATAAAAGAGTAAAAAAGTCCCCGCTGTTGGGTTATATGCACAATGGATGGGAGGGAGCTATGCAAATACGGCAGTAAAGCATCAAGTTGCAGCAGGGGATGAGCAACTTATCCACAATTACCCTTTCAAGGGCGAGAGATTCTCCTCACGTGGGTTGCCTGGCAACACGACTGTATATAGCCAGCCGAGAATCCAGACACGTCTGCTGGTAACCATGGATCAAGTTGTTAGGGAAATAGACAGCCGGCATCAATCATCTTCCCTAATTCTTCTGGTCTTCTATTCCATATGTCTTTATTGCTTTATATATATATATAGATTGTATACACGTGTATATATGTATATATGTCATATATATATTGTGGCGAAGAAATAATTTATTATTTAATTTAATATAATTCAATGAAAATATTCAACAGATTATAAAAAAAATTATATAAAAAAGTAAAAATAAATTATCAGGTGAAAAGTTTCTTTTAATTTAAATTTGCAAGCTTTTGAGCAAATATACTGTTCTTCAACGAGCTGATATATCGCCTATTTCTATCATTTTTTGATGAGGTATGAAAGGGTGAATTATGAAGAGTAATGATGAACGGAAAATAAAAGTGTCCAGGGATGGGAATCGAACTCTGCTTACCAGGCAGATGCCATGTCCATTAGGCTACCCTGGACGTATTTTTTATCCAGAATAATTGAAAACTTTTGTTATTATATTCTGTAAAAATATTATTTAGAGATTGTACATAGAATATCAGCCCGTTGAAGAGCAGTATATTTGCTCGAAAGCTTGCAAATTTAACATTAAAAATAAACTTTTTACACCTGATATTTATTTTTACTTTTTCAAATATATTTTTGGGTAATTATTGCTCACATAAAAATATATATTACTCTGTATTTGTAAAATCATCTTTAAAGATATTTCTTTGCTTGCTTGTTCAAGATTCCCTAGCTTTAGATAGTTTTGTTAATAATTGTCGACTATTCGCCGTGACATCATCAATAAATACTTTCACATATTAAAATATACAAAGACTTAATTTCTACGTTACAATATATATATTAATTAAAAGACATATTTTGGATCAAAAAATAAAATAAAACATTTATTATAAAAAAATCCAATATTTCGCTAGGCTGTCTCTTCATCTTCATCCGGGTTTTTCTATTATTTCAAATGTTTTGGTTAACCACGCGATACCTTCACGCGGCGATATATAATTTTAATATTCGTAAATATTAATTTATAGATAAACAAACCTATTTTCGATTTTTTTATTATCAAATATTTAATATTTATCACGCGTCTACTATAATAGTTTCGAATTTTCATAACAGATGGCGCGCTAATGCATCATAATTTAATATTTATAAAAACTGGGCGTTTTTCTTCCTCTGGAAACCTTGTAAACATGAAAAGCGGGCGGTTATTCTTGCGATATTGTCTCTATATGTTCCTAAAATATCGTAGACTTTTTTTCTAAATATCTTTGTTAACTCAGCCCCATCTATCGCTGAAAATTTGAAATAAAATTTTAACGATACCTTTTTAAATATATATATATCTAAAGAGACATGGGTCGTCTCTCCCTTCAAAATAGACGTCAAAACCAGACGCCATCTATTGACCGTCGCCGCAAACTAGCGGCCTCGGGTCGGTGACAAAGCCTAGTTTGCGGCGACGGTCAATAGATGGCGTCTGGTTTTGGCGTCTATTTTGACGAGAGAGGCGACCCTTGTCTCTTTAGATGAATATCCTCCCGGCAAAATTTCCATCTATATTTATATCGTAAACAATTATATTTCTGCAGATACATTTGTACTGTATTAAATAAAATTGAAAGAGGGGGAAGGGCATGACTCATCATCAATCGTCAACCCTCTCAGTAGATTAAACTGGCGAAACCGCTGGGAGGGTTTATCAATGATGAGCCATGCCCTCCTCCTTTAAATTTTTATTCATTGCAGTATGAGGTCTGTTGAAATAGCTTTTAATTATGTGTATATGGTGTGAGATCCTGTCGACTCTCGCTATACTGTGTTAACCGAGAGGAACAGTCAGGATGTGGAAAGTTTTCCAGTACCTCTCTGCACCTTGTAAGACCTTTAACAGTTCTCACAGAGTACAGACAGTCGTGGTCGAGGCAGAGTGGAAAACTTGGGAATGTCCATACAAAAAACGAAGGGACACAGTTGTACTAGGAAAGTTCCGTGAACAGATAACAGTCGAGCTAGGAACGAAAGATGGAGATAGAAGAGTTCTTACTGTTCTGCATGGTCGATGAGGTGGACCTTGGACACAACCGACGAGGGCTCCCGCTGATGGTGAAGTGATTTATGGCCCGTTGGAGGATTATATATCTTTGCCGAGAGTAAGTATTGGGTTTCAGCGGATGCAAAAAGGGCGTGGATCGGAAGACATTGTAGACTGGCAACGCCCTGACATCTTGTAAGCCTCGATTTTGGACTTCTATCTCAATCTCTTGCTTCAGCTCAACTCTTAATCTATTACAGAGTTTTAGTTATTTATCCTTAGTTTGTACAAAGTACATTACATATGATGATGTAATGACACATGTCAATCATGCGTATAATTATTTACAGATGTGTTTCTATTATACAACATCTTGTTATATACAATATGAGGTTGTTGGTTTAAATTGCCATATGTATATTTTGAAAGTAAGAAAAGAAACTTTTAAAATATTTATAATTTTTTAGAAGTGTATACACTTTTTAAAAATCAGATTTTATAAAAGCAAAGTGTGCGGGCTTGTGTATAATTATGTAAATATTGCGAAAAATTAATCGACAAGTATTCAGGAAGTCTATAAAAATTAAGGTCACCTCTCCCGTCAAAATAGACGTCATCTATTGACCGACTCAGGTCAGTGACAAAGCCACAACACCAGCTTTGACAAACTGAGAAGCTTCCACCTAGAGACCATGGTTTCAGGCTAATGGCCCTCGTCAGCTTAGACCAGACTTTATTACTTGAGATCCACAAGGGATCAAATGGAATCTTCACAATCTGCCAAAGAGGTGTTTACCTGGTAGAGTGGGTAGGCCAAATCTATGGCTAAAATATAGATGGAAATTTTGACAGGAGGAAATTTATCTATAAAAATAAAAGGTACCTCTCCCGTCAAAATAGATGTCCTCCATTTCAGTTTACCAAAGCTGGTGTTCTAATTTTCTCACCGACCCGAGTCCGTTAGTTTGCGGCGACGATCAAAAGATGACGTCTAGTTGACCAGGAGAGGTGACCTTTATTTTTAAAGATCACTCTCGGCAAAATTCCCATCTATTCAGGGAGTTATGGCTTACTTGCGATTAATTTATGGCAATTATAAACGGAAGAGTTTCGACTGAAAGAAAAAGAATCTTAAAGAAAATACATATCTTTCTATTAAAAATAAAGATGGCATCTCCTGACCATGAGAACATGTGCTTTTTAGATGGCAGAGCGCCATCTAGTGGAGCAATCTAAAAAGCACATGTGCTCGTGGTCAGGAGATGCCTTCTTTATTTTTAATATCAACACCTGACCCACTTATCTTTTATTTTTTCTATTGTTTTTTCATATCTTTCTATATAAACTAGATTTAAAAAAAACCTGTGCGACATTGACAGCAGGGTTGTGGCTTTGTCACCGATCCGAGCTTGCAAAGACGGTCAACAGATGGTACTGCATAGTTTTGGTGTCAATTTTGACTAAAAAGGGGTAGCTTGCAATATTTCTATTTTTGGCTATAGAATTTGGCCCAACAACGCTACCAGCTTAATACCTCTTTGGTAAACTCTGGTTTTAAGAATCCCCCTTGTGTATTTCATGATGAAATCGATGCCAATCTGAACTGACGAGGGCTATTAGCTTGAAACCGAAGTCTTCAACTGGACGTTCCGAATTTTACAAATTTGGTGTTGTGGTTTTGATACCGAATTTAGACTGCTAGCATGCAGATACTGTCAATAGACGGATGATATTTTTTGTGCCTATTTCAAAAGGAGAGGTAGCCTTTATTTTTAGAGCAATATTGCAAAGCAATTTCAATTATAACCAGAAATAGCATTATTCCCTCATACCACCTGCTACGGTGAAATTCGAGGATATGTATAAGCCGAAATGCTAAAGTTATCTTATTCTTTTTCTTTCTTTTCTTCACTCAACAATCATATCAGGGTATCAAGCTTGTAGAGCTTGTTGATAGTGTCTGGTGGGGATGAGTAGAGCTCATCAATGAATAAGTCAATACAGTCAATAATGTGTTTTGGGGTTGCAGGTTGACACTTAGTACATAGTGGGAAACAACCATTATGTCATTGTCTGTAGGTGACCAGCCTTAAGCCTAGAAATCAAAGACTGTTGTTCCCTTAGGAGGACAGAATTGTCCCTCCTGCTCTGTACCAGTCATGTGCAGCAATAAATATTAAAGTTGTTTTATTGCCTCTATTCATAAATTTTAAATAATCATATTTTTTTACAAATCCATTAAGAAAAAGGTTGAATTTTAAACTTGACACTGCAGCTAGGAGATGGTTTTCTTGCTAGAAAAATAAAACTGGCACCGTCGAAAATGATTGAAGCTGTTCATGTCCTTTCTAGTTTTAAGTTTCAAAATATACGCTGTGTGCTGAATATTAAATTTACTAAATAAACACACTTTTTGTAGAAATTTGACCTCACTCCTCTATTTATATATAAATACACAGTTAAACCTGTCTATAGCGCCCCCTCTAAATAGCGCCTCCCTCTCTATAGCGCCCGATTTTAAATATGTAGTACGATGCGATATTTACATTAAAAGTGACCTGTCTATAGCACCCTTTCTCTATAGCACCCTATTTTGGTGAGTCCCAAGAGGGGGCGCTATAGACAGGTTTAACTGTATATATGTAAAGGCATTTAGCGTTAATATTCGAAACTTTTCTATCAAAAGAGTTTTTTAATATATGAATATCATTTAAAATATTTATTCTAAATTATTTTTTTAGTTAATATAAACTCTTTTTTTTTTTTAATATGCATCGCGACATGTAAGATAGTCGTTCTTGTAAAAATATTAGTTTGAAATAATTTTTAATAGTATATATTTAAATGACAATTTTTAATTATTTTTAATGTTACTATTTAATATATATATATATTAATATATAATGTTCTAATAACGTATATATATGTTTACAGCAATTATTTTTCAAAAATTAATTTTAGAAAATAAATATTTCAATTAGATATTAATTTGATTTTAAAATATCAATTAAAACATTTTACTTTGAAATATTAAATTAACTGCAATTTATATGTATTTATTATTTTATATTTATATTTTTACTTAATAAGTGTCAACTTTAAATCATTTTAAAAACGAAATTAATGTCTAAATGAAAATAATCCCATAAAGTTGATATCTATCAAAACCTAATATTTAACAAATTCAAACATTTGAGAATTTTTTAATATTTATAATCGTATGAATATATATTTATTCACCACACACACTGCAAAAAAAATTCTATATTTATTAGATTTTAAAACTTTTTAAAATTCTCAATTTTAATTCAACATTTACAAAACAGAAGATATATAATTAATATATTTTTTAAAAATATTGATATATATTTAAATGTAATGTAAATGTAAAATATTTACTCAAAAATTCCCAAAAAT